TCGCGTATTTGATTGTTTTGATTTTACGTTACACCTGATCTTTCGATCTAATTGGCTAAAAATCACGTGCCTGAAAACATTTTGGGGGTTAATTACTAGATATACTTCACCCATTCGTGTCACTGACAATCATTTAATCAAGTTGACCAATCACATATCATTTAAAGTATATATTTAAAATTCTTCGAAAAAAAAAAATTGAAATGATCGTCAGTGCAATAAAACCTTTTCAAAAAAAAATATGAAGACCTAACTAATTTTTTTAAATTTTCATAGCTTAAGCGTACATCAACAAATGGTGAACGTATAAAAGAGGGTATATCTATCAATTCTGGATTGCTTGCCTTAGGAAATGTAATTTCTGCTTTGGGTGATCCAACTAAGGCAAAGAATACAACTCATATCCCATATCGAGATTCTAAACTAACACGTTTATTACAAGACTCTCTTGGTGGTAATGCGTTAACATTAATGATTGCTTGTGTTTCACCAGCAGAATATAATGTTATTGAAACAATAAATACTCTTAAATATGCAAACCGGGCTAGAAATATTAAGAATACGGCGATAATTATGCAAGAAGAAGCCGGATGGAATGACTTAGAACATTTACAAAATCTTGTTTTAAAATTAAGATCCGAAATTAAAAATTTAAAATCATCGAATGTTTCTGGTGAGGATACATTGGATAATGGAAGTGACTCACCTGATAGTCAAATTCCTGATTCAAAAACTCCGTTACATATCGATACCAACGTTAAAACTGACGAAAACTTTCAAAATAATAAGGATATCGAAGCTCTTGAGGAACAACTTGCAGAGCTTCAACGTTCTTATAGTGAATTATCACAAAATTATGCGAAAAAATCAATCGAACTTGAAATATATCAAAATGTCTCAGATAGTACAAACCCTACCTCTTCATCTTTAACAACCATTAAAGAAGAGGATGAGATGACCGTTAATAAATCTCAATTTTCTGATTTTCAAAAGGCTGTCAAGCCAGTTGTCATGGAATACGAAAAATCTATTACTTCTTTAGAAAGTCAACTTGCGCTTGCTCGTGCCGCTTTAAATCACACTGAAGCTTCAATGCTAGAACAAGAAGCAAAACTTCTTGATGCTGAAAAATTCAGAGAAGAAAGTAAAAGTGTAATTGATGATCTTAAATATAAGGTTTCAAAACTTCATGAACGTGAAACTACAACTGAATATTATATTCAAGACCTTGAAGCTAAAATTAAAATTAATTCCGAAGAATATAAAAAAGATCAAGAGACAATTAGTGATCTCCGAAAACAACTTATGGAACTTAAAGAAAATGATAATAATAATGAAAATCTAATTCATCAACTTGAAACGCGTTTGGCGGCGCGTGAAAATAAAATAGAACTTATGAGTTCAAATACAGAAAAACTTGAAAAAGCTTTAAATCAACAACAAGATGCATATGCAAGATTAGAAGAAAGATATGCTCAAGAAAAACTGAGAAATGAAGAAGACAAGAAAATGCTCATGACAGGAATTGAAGAACGTGATCATAGGATTTCTGAGCTGGAAAAAAAAGTCGAGGAGTTGGTTGACGAAATATCACAACTGAAACGATTAAAAATGGATATTAGAAATTATCGTTCAAATTCACTTGCTTCGGCTTCTTCAACTTCTTCGGATCAAGATACTCCTCTTTCCACACCTCCTGATTCGAATACTCCAAAATCATCTGTAAATTATTCTTCTGTGTTAGGATTAGAATCAAAATTATATCAACTTCAAAAAACTCATGAAAAGACTGTCTCAGAATATAGTGAGATAAAGAGTAAATATGCCTCATGTCTTGAAGAAATCCAAGAACTTCAAGAACAACTTCGAGCTAAATTGAACATTAATATAATACCTGGAACCCCATCAACTTCTACCGGAACATCTTTTGGAGAACTTGCAGATATGGATCCAAAGTCTTTATCGCCATCCACTCATGGAACCCATCGTAAAGCTAAATCTCTATCTTCTGAATTAAAAGGGATAGAAAAACGCGATAGTTCTAATGCTGCTATTATTCAAAGACTTCAAATTGAATTAAAACAACTTGAATCGCTTCATGAAGATAAAGATCAAGGTCTTAATGCTGTTAAGCAGGAATTTGCTCGTCTTGAGATTAATCATCGGGAAGCTCTTGAAATTGTTGAAGAACTTCGTGAAGAAATAAAAAGAAGAGATGCTCTTGCCCAAATGGAAGTCATGTCCGCCATGGGATCAGAATATACTAACAACGAATATTCTACATCAGCTAGTGAAGTTGATCAACTTGAGATCGTTCATCGTCTTCGTGAAGAAGTTGAACAACTCAAAGAAGAGCAACGAAAGACTTTGGAAAGTATTTACGAACGTGAAGAAAATGGAAAAGATGAAGTTAAAAAATTAGAAGCCACTATAAAAGATCTTAAATCTGAAATGCAGAAATTACTTGAAGAACAGGCCTTAAAGAATTCCGAAGTCTCTGATACTGTATCTGATGATAATAATGATGAACAAGTCCAAGAAATGCAATTAACAATAAAATCACTTGAGGAACAATTATCAGAAGCTAAACGGCAGTTTTATATCGCAGATGCTGCCTCTCGTCTCGAGGGTAACAATAAAATAGAACCGAATATGGAAAATTTTGAACTTAGACAGCAAGTCGAAAAACTTCAAAATGAAATTGAAGCAAAGAGTCATACAATAGCTGCCTTATTATTCCCATCAATTGAACATCAAAATACAATTCGCAGACTTGAAGATGAACTTGAAAAAGTTCGAGAAGCTCATCAACAAGCTATTTTAGAAAAATCAAGCCAGTTAGCTTCAATTGCGGAAGAATTTGAAGATGGAGGAATTGATGTTTCTGAATATTCTGCTGCTAGAGAGCAAACTTATGACAAACATGTACAAACTCTTGAAGAAAAAGTTAAAGATCTTGAATCACAATTGAGCAAAGCAAGAGAAGCACAGCATATTCCAACACCTCGAACTTCAATTCATTTTGATATTGATCCAACACGAACAAACATAAACAGTCTTGAAGAAAAATTAGCTATCTTGCAACATGATTTAGTTCTCAAGACAAATACTATCGAAAATTTAAATGAAGAACAAGAAATTGTAACAGCACTTCAAGAACAACTTCTCCTGCTTAAATCAGATATTCAACGCAAATACGAACTTATCGAAATCTTGAAAAGAGACCTTGCTGATAAGAGTATGCTACAGCAAAAATTAAGGGAAAAAGAGGCTGAAGCACTTATTTTCAAAACAAAACTCATGGAAGTTAACAAAAAAGAGCAAGAATATGAAGATGAAACCAAAAAACTTAAAGAACAATTAAGTAGATTAGAAAGTGGAGAAGATGTAAATGAGGTTCTTCAAGAAGAATTAGATAGGCTGAAAAAAGAAATTATAGAAGTTCGTGAAAAAGAATCTATTGCACTTGAAAGATTTCGAGTATTGAAAGCCAAATTAGGTTCCGATCCTGAGGAAAATCAACTTCAAGATGAATTAGAACGTTTACGAATCGTGGAAATAACGCAAAGAGAAAGAATAGCAATTTTGGAAAGTAAACTTTCAGAGCAAGGAGATCATGTTGAATGTGATATTGCACAACTTCAAAATGATTTGCTGTTAGCAAAGGAATCTGAGGCAGCACAAAAGAATATAATCGAAAGTCTTGAAGCAAAATTGCGTAAGGCTGAGGATAAGTCTCAAATAAGCGCATATCGACGTGAAATAAATGAGTTGAAAACTAAAGAAACAGAATATTTGAAAAGAATAAATGAATTAGAATATCAATTAAAGGAGCACGATACTAAGGACCTAAATGAGGTTAACAAACTTAATGAAGAGTTAGAGAAAATGAGAGCTATAGAACGAGAACAACGTAAACAAATTGAAACCCTTGAAACACGATTAGAACTTGTCAACGATGAAGATCCCAATGTTTCTTCATTGAGAGATCAAATCGCTAAATTGAAAGCTTCAGAATCTGATATGCGTAGAACTGTACAGGATTATGAATTAAAACTTGCAACAGCACAGAAAGAGGCTAAAATTTTCGGTACGGTTAAAGAAGAAGTTAAATTCTTAAAGGAATTAGAAACTGAGCAAAAATCCACAATTGAACAATTGCAAGCGCAACTTAGTAAACTTAGAACTTCTAAAGAAGCAGCTGTTAACGAGCTTCAAACTATGAAAGGAGGTTTTGTTATTCAAAAGGACTTGGCAATCTCCCTCGAAAAAGAAGTAAACTCTCTAAGAGAACAATTGGCAGCTATAAAGAATATTGACGCTAAATCATATGATCATGAAGAAATGACCAATTTGATAAACAAAACTCAAAAAGAACGTGACGATGCACAAAACACAGTCAAAACTTTGGAAATTGAAATCAAAACATTTAAACTAGCAGGAGTTGCTGGTAATGAAAATGTTGGCGCTTTAAGATCAGAACTAGCAAATACTAAACTTGAGATGGCGGCTCAAAACGAGATTCTGGCAGATCTTGATTCTCAGATAAGTAATATGGACAAAGAACGTAATCAGAGTATCCAACGCATTCAAGAGTTAACAGAAGCTCTTAAAGAAAAAGAATCTAGCCAAAAGGATGCCATTAAGAACCTTGAATGCACTTTAGCAAATTTAGATTCTGAACTTACTGTGGCCAAGGATTCCTCCAACACGAGCAAAAAAACAATTGCAACTCTTGAAGAAAAACTTGCTACTGTGCGTTCACAATTAAATGATGCTAAGGCTTCCGATGAAAGACGTTCAAATATTATGAATGAGTTGGAAAAGAAATTAAAGAATACTCTTAATATTTTAACGGACAAAGAAGAAAGTATCATTAACCTTGATGTTATGGTCTCAGAATTGGACACTGTTATACAAAAAACACAATTAGAACTTCAAACATCAAAAGCGTCTGAAGAAGATGCGGCCAGACGTGAAAATGAATTAGAAGCCAAACTTGCAGAATTAACTTCCAGGTTACAAAATACAAACAATAGCAGTGCAGAATTTGCAAAAATAAAAGCTTCAGAAACAAAACATATGGAACAAGTTAAGCTCCTGGAAACTAAACTCAAAGAAGCTGAGGCACATCGTGTTGAAGAAATGTCCAAACTTAAAAAGGCAAATAAAGAAATCGAGTCACTTAGTGATAAATGTAATCAATTACAAAAAGAACTCGAAGATGCACAATGGGATTCTGTCATCCAGAGTTATGAAAATGTTGATGATACTATGGTTGAAGATCTTACCAATCAACTTAAACAGGTCCACAGCGAAGCCAAGTTTCATCGGGATCAAGTTGT